TCATTCTTTGGGCTGTCTGTTTTGGGGATTCTCCAATTGGGCTTTACTCCTTGGGCTGTTCGACTTGGGCTGAATTTTTATGTATCAACACATCCACATTTTCTATAACTACATCCCACTCTAAATTCATCTCTAATAAAATTTTAAAAAATAATATTCACATTCACGTCATATTCCAATCTTGTCCTTATTATATTTATTCTTTTAAATACTATATATCCACATGAATATTATATACTCATCACACTTTAAATACATCCCTATCACTATAGATTCGCCTAATCCCTAAAACCATAAACTCTTAAACCAAATGAATGAAATAAAAACAAAGCTGAACTGATAGAACATTAAATTAACGTGAAAAAAATTCTTTGCCTATTGAAGCTTTGAGTATAAGAATGCTTCAAACAACAAAAGTTAAAGACAGAAAGATGATGAAAGTTCGATTAAGCAAGCTGAATTTTACTAACTTTGTTGGCCACAATTCTTCTTCTTTCTTGATTAATTGATGAAACTACATCAGATTCTGTTTTGCATTTTTCGAAATCCGATATGACTCTTGGCACAGAAATCAAATTTAGGGCCACCTCACCTATAATTATATTCATGTATTTTTCTCTATCTATTAGGATTCGAGTTAAGCATAAATGAAAATAAAAACTAGTTGATCAGTTTAGAGTTATGTATTTTTATTTAATTTTGTTTATGTCTATTTAAGTAATTTTACATAGGATTTAAAATATAACACTTTAATTTTTAAAAATGGATGTATATATAAAAAGTGTGGATGGAAATAGTAGTACCCTTCAAGATTCTTAAATTTTCATTTTTTTTTATTGGGTTTTAATTCCAAACAGATATTTTCATACGTCACTAATTGAAACAATAACTGAACTCCCATCACAAATCTTTGAACTCTTGCAACTGGGGTCGTTCGACAGTCCTGTTATCACAAATATGATGAAGCCCTCAATGCAAGCACCGTCTGCCTTTTCTTTCAAGAAATTCATTCACTTTGGAAGAAAACAGGGAAAATACCCATTTAAGCCCCTCTCCTTTACAAGAACCCTTTTGCTTATATGTATTTATATGTAGGCGTTATGTATTTTGTGTCCCTTTTATGTTTGTATGGTAAATTATGCGTTTTCTTTTTTGAAGTGGCCAATTTTTATCCATATGGGTTATTTTCATAAAAGATCAAATTTTTCCAGTTGGAAAGAAATGAATTAACAAGTTTTAGGTTGTCTAAAAACTAGATTTTTTATAAAATTTTCTTTTTTCTGTTTTAAGAATTTATCTTGGAGGACATTCATAGAAATTAATGAGTCTAGGTCTTGAATTTTGTGCCCATTGGTGTGAGGTTGTGCAGTTATCTTGAGATTGGAGGTGATATTTACAGTAGAATGTTGCTAAAAGAAATGAAATGAGGTAAGGCTTTAGAAGGACAGAAATTGGAATTGATTTGGAATGCTACATCAAATGTGAGGTCTTTGTTTTTATATTCGAATGTTGTTGACTAATAATCATTTTCATAGTCACGATAATCTAATAATCTGTTTACTAGCTACTGTTATGATTAATTTGTACTTTGCATGAAAGGTAAACCTTCCCTATCACTTTGTTTCTTAAACTCATCATTAGCCAGAATCGAAGAAACAATGGAAGTTGCAGATGCCAAATTACATCGTCATTTTTTCTCTTTCAGCCTGTTCTCTTTCCTGTCCAAGGTTTTTCTCTTCTCTTTCTGCAGTAAACTTCAGTCACTTCATGGCCATGGATGGGAAAACAGAGCTTCGAATGCTCTCTTCTGAGACTCCTAAGATTAGACTACTGCATAGTTTGTGTGTTGAATGGTGGGACACGATGCAGGTCCCTTTGCATACTTTACTATATTGAAACTTCTTATAATTCAAAGGTTGATGATCCCTGCCACCACCCTCTATCTTGGTCGTGAAGAGAGAAAACAAGTTCCAATTTCCCCAATTTAAAAATCATATAATTGTTTTCTGTTGCTGTTTGATTGAAATGGGATCGCCACAAAAGTATATGCTGTAATTTTTAATGTCATTGATTAGATTTACATGTGATTACCATACATGGTTCTCAACAGGGGTGGATTTGGGATTTTGTCCAAAGTGGACACAATTTTAGATATTCGTTACATTGATTTTTATGGCCAAAATTAGTCTATGAACGAAAAGACTGCACATGATCTTGAGAAATCCTGAAAAAGCATGAAATTTTGAACAACTGCAATGAGATTTTTAAATCACAAAACTACTATGACCTTGATTCAATATTCATATAAAGATGGCGATGAATTCCCCAAAAAGTTTTAAGGTTCGAGATTAGGATGAAATGGGTAAAGATATTTTGTGATTTATTTGGATATGAACTCTGATTGTGGAGTTGTGAGGATTTGAGTGAAGTGTACCCTCACTAGATCATCTAAAATTAAAAAGGGCTTTTGGTCCAGTCAGGGTATTGTTTTCTTTCGATATAATAATATATTTGTACACACATATATATTCACATACACATAATCGTCTTCCTCACACCACCCACCCCCAATCGACTATGGAAGAGCTTACTAAAATAGTAATATATGGACACCCCTGTTAATATTTGAGTACAACTCAAGTATTGAACTGGCTCATTAAGATTAATTCTCTTTGAACAGTATTCTAAATTATTGAATTATAATAGATAAATAACTGTAGGAAATTCAGTGTATGTGGATAAAATCGGAAAATGTTGTCTTTCGTCTCGTCAATTTGAATAATGCGCAATTAAAAGATTCCCAGATGAGGAGGGGGTCACAACCAGACCGCTTAAATCCCAAACTCTTCTTAGACAGTTTAGGTCTTTTTGACAAAGCCTTTCAATTTTGCAACTATGCAAATCAACAAAATTCAAACAACTATATATCGAATTTTCACCAGATCATTGAAAGTTTTATTTCCAACAAATAACTTTTGTTCCAATAGAATTTAAAATTCATGAAGCATACGAATAATATATCATAAATTCATGAAACATGGACTATAAATTTAATACGAAAAATTGTATGAATTAAACAACTGAAGCATAGAATTTTAACCCGAAGCCTGTGTTACACACATTTTCCTTAAAACAGATTCGCCCCCTCACCGTCCGTGCTTGAGGTTTAAAACGAGCGTCCGTTTCTCAGGATACAACGGTAAAACCAGTAGCTTCCGAGCACCGCAGAAATCACTCCGGCGAATTGAACTAGTGCCTGAACTACACCACCACCAAGAGAGAACTCTATGCAAAATGAATTTCTAGTGTATTCTAAACTTGAAAGCTTTTGCTTTTTTTTATGTGTGTTGAAATGAGGAAAATGAGCCACTATTTATAAGCTAGGTTACCATTAATGGCAATGACATTTGGAGTTCCTCATCTTTTTCCTATGTGGGACAAATTCATTTTTCCCACATAAACTCCCTTTTGAGTGGCACACTTTGAGCCTCAACTTCTCATTCACCCGAACATCAACTTTGGCAAGTATATGATTTCGATGTACTCACGGAGGAAAACACAAATCAACTTTCATCTTCCAAATTGAACAATCGGGTCCCATTTAAAACTCGTGCCAAAGTCGGCCAATTTTTCCAACAATCCCCCACATGAATGAAAATTGAAAGCGACTCATGCATGTGACACATGACTACTTATGAATGTGACACATGACGACTTGTGAATGTGACACATGACGACTTGGTGATATAGTTCAACAGTTGAAACCTGCATACGATAGGTAGGTGTTACCCTTTGAACCTTTGCTTGTGAAAGCATATTTACTTCACTGGCTGATCAGTAGACGTGATGTCCTTGAAGTGTTCTACCGTTTATTTAAACGATGAT